TATATATACAGTATTGAACAAAGAGGTCACATGATAAAGTATAAAGTGATTTTTACATACTCGATGATTAAGAAGGAGGTTATGGTTTTTTTTCACATGCTCAAATTGAGTATTAGACAAATTTGGGATAGAGGATAATATTAGGTATGCTTAAAATCATGTAAATATATAAATATAAATGCTGAAATTGATGATATGAATAAAATGAGTGTAAAATATAGATAGTAAAACATTTTTACGAAGGGAACAATTATATTTGGGGCAAGGGCATAAAACTAGATAAATGGAATGTAAAAGTATAAGAAAAAATTATAAATTTCAGGTGTATCTAAATTTAACTGATTGAAAACGTAATACAATAATAGTGACTGAAATATGGATAGAAGAAAATGAAATAACGTTATCAAATTGAAGAATATAATGTATTTTTTAATGTAGCGAAAAGGATAGTTCTAGTGTTACAATTATTAAGAGATAAAATAGTGAGGTAAATGAAAATTCAATGTTTTTAAACAGTGAACTTATTAAAGCCGTATTTTGAAATTCAAAATGCATTGCTTACCTATTATCAAATTGGATGAATTCACTAAGGAGCTAGTTAAAAAATTAAATTATAAAGTTAATATGTGTGTGATTACGACAGGTGATAAATTAAAATATGGATATTATAAAAAGATATTCATGCAAAATACTGTCTGCAAGTATTAAACACGGATTGATTTCATACGTATGATAAGTTTGTAACAAAAAAGTTCGAAAAAAATGTTTGGACCATATATTTATAGGAAAACTAGATATTAAAACGTTATTGACCTATATAATAATATCCAATATGACTTACAATTTTTGCGTAGTCTATAACTCTATGTTGAATTTGGATATATAATGCAGTAAAAGTACGTAATTGAAAATACAAAAGTTCAAAAGTGGAGTTATTTAAATGCCGATTTATGCATTACGCATTTTAATTTATTTTTCAAATATTGTATTAACAACCCTCTGAGTTTTTTATTTTGCTAACATTTCTTTTAAATATTTTCTCAGTTTATCTAAATCCACTTTTATATTAAAGCCTTGTGAACTCAATAATATATGGAAGGAAATTAAACAACATTTTATAGAAGTAATAAATAGAGTATGGATGAAAAACATAATTACAAAATTTAAAGCAACATGCTTGCAAAAATTGCAAGAGAAAGGTTACCTTATTACAACCAGAATATTCAAGAAAAATAAAAATGATATTAGATACCAGTGGGTTTGTTTGTAGTTAAGCATAAAGCTACACGATGGGCTATCTGTGCTCTGCCTACCACGGGTATCGAAATCCGGATTCTAGCGTTGTAAGTCCACAGCCCTACCGCCGTGCCACTGGTGGGCCAAATACCAGTAGGAAAACATAAATAGAAAGTGTAGTGGATCTTAAAATAAAAATAATTTTCCTCATGAAATTATTGGTAAATATATTTGTTATTTTTGGAAGAAAAATCCAGTCAGACTAGTAAAGAAACTGAATGAATGCTACGCAGAAATAACTTGTTGATTGTTTCAATAAATATAGTTTATATAATGAACCTGTTAAAATTATTTCTAAAACATTTTTTTTATCAATATATATATCTGAAACTTAGGTTAAAGAAGTAAGAAACAATTGTACTCTTGGAGGGCTGTTGAACCATATGAGATACCAGTATTATAATAAAAAAAAGTGTATATAAGGAAATATTAGGAAACTTGTGTTTTTAATAAATTTATAACTTCAGGAAATATCTTCATGGAAATAAAAAAATTACCATAATTAATATTTGTATATAAAGGAGTTAGTATTGGCATATCAGGAAATTACCTATTCGTTTCTATATTGTCAGTATTCTGTAAAATCATTGAAAAAAGTTGTTCAGCAAAAATGTAATTTTTTAATAAGTTTGACTTTTCACTGCTAACCAATTTTGGATTGAAAAATATGGATATTGAAAATACAATATTAGAATTGACCTTTATAATTCACAGAAATTTTAAAGAAAATTTTAAATCAGTGGTAATTTTCTTAGTGTTTTAGAACCATGCAAATTGTTACAGGAGAATATACAGAAGGCAAGAATAAAAGATAAAGTGTTACAGTGGATAGAAAGTTACTTAACAAATAGAAAACAAAAGGTAAACATTAAAAATCATTTTAGTAAAAAACCTTAGGTGTGGTGTACCACAAGACTTTGTTCTATGATATATTTTATTTTTAACTCGAGAACTATCTGCGCTATCTTTTCTCAATTTTGAAGAAATAAACCGCACATCGCCAGCTCTTGAACACTAGTCGTATAGTGGGATTTAATTGTCATCCTTATAACACACCCACGGCCCCAAAGTGAGGAATGCGATTTATTTTTGGCCCTGTTATTATATATATATATATATATTAAAAAATGTTTGAGATTGTTGTAAAAAATATATAAAGAACCAGAAATCTTGTAAGTCAGAGACTTACACATATTTAAAGAAAAAGCGGAGCTGCAACGTGTTGAAAAAGCATATCTTAAACACGATTATCAAGTACTCATTTTTGCCAGAAAGAATCCAATAAACTATAGCCCACGGACACTTACATCTAATTAGCTTATAGAATGTTCAAATTATTGCCAAATTAATTCAAAATAATACGATTTTTAAAATCAAGATTTCAGCTTGTTAATCATAAAAATATTGGGGAGTTCCTAAAACAAATTAAATCCTTTTGATATAATATTTATTCACAATAAACTTGGTACAGTTTTCACTTAAAAACATGTAAGAATTTGTCCCTTTAAAATTCATTTAAGTAAAAATTACATTCCTTTATTAAACTAAGTAAAAAAAAATGTAGAGCATGAATTAAAATATTATTTTTATATAATTACTAATATGTGTATATTATCGGAAGTACAGAACGTATGTGTGTATTTTCCTCCTCCTCTTCCTGTTTACTGGCGTATGAGAAGATTTTACTAATTGTTATTTCCAAAACTAAGACACGTACGGGAAAATTTTATTTAGATTGAAAATATACAAGATGCATTTTGAGATCTTGGTGGTGGGGTTAATTTTTGTTTCAATCACCTTATGTGGTAAGTGATATATTTCGTTAATATATATATATATATATATTTCCAATAAGTTAAAACGGCAATAGTCTTACTTTTATAAATATGTATATACTTCCAAATAATGAGTTTCAAACGTTAATTCTAATGCTATTGTCCTATGAGGTAATGTAATATTTACTAAGTAAGCGTTTTATCACCATTACCAATAATTTTTGTGAGATCTAAAATACTGAAGTATCGTTTGTTGACGTATTGAACAGTAGTCAATAGATTACTAAGCAGTGTCTTGTATAATCTGTCGTTTACACATACGCATGATCGGTTTGGTTTACAATAGCTACAATGTACCAGCATCTGATAAAACAATTTCACATAACGGATTTTCACCATGATGAGTCTCAACTTCCTAGACTGCCTGTGGAACTGGGCGTGGCCTTGTAGTTAGCGTGCTAGACTGTAGACTCAAGAAAACACGGTTCACCATATCCATATTTTGGGGCTGGGGATCCTTTGTAAGAATGACAGTTAATTTCATTGTTCGATGTGTGTAAAGTAAGAGTTGTCTGTGGGCGTTGTTCATTCTGTCTAGCGGTCATCATAACGAAATATGATAACGTAACTACTTCTTAAGCCAATGGTTCCCAGTCTTTGCTCCACCAAGGATCCCTTTTATTATCATTTTTTCCCCCACGGACCCCATGTTTTTGAAAGATTCCGCCTACCCAACAAACTGTTTTTATTAACTAATAATTAACTCGTTCTCCCACTTTTCACTATCAAATGAAAGACATATATATAATTGATGTACAATTAAAAAGAACATCAGTACTAAAAAACTTACTTGTTTAATGAGATGGTATTACCTACGCGAACCCTAGGTTGGGAACCACTGTCTTAAGCTAATTTCTTAGTTAAAAAAATTAAACCATAAAAAGCACAGGCAACACATTCTTATGTCCATTCTGTCTGAAGATAACTATAATTCAATATGATACATAACTACTCTTATATCTATCAAAATATAAATTGTTATATGTTCAAGGTGATAGAAAAAAACCAAATAAAACTAGTGTCTAAGGTTGGTCCAATACGTTACTACATAAAATACAAAAGTAAAGAGAATAAATTGTACGATGCGCTATTATTTTGCATTTGTTTTAATAAAGTGGTATACTTTTTTCTATTACCATATGTTTATCAATGTATGATTGTGAAATATTGTTCCAAATGTTTTGTATTACTTCCCACAAGGTGTTGCCTGTGCTTTTCTTGGTTTGATAAAACCAACAATTATAGAATTAACATTCGATGACGAGGAACCCACTTCAAGACTAATAATGCTTGGAGACAGCTTGAATGGGTAGTGAAGAAAAACTTTAATATAAGTTTAACATAACAGCAAATGTACAACGTTTCGACAAGGTTTTGTCATAATTATGGAATTAGCTTAGAAATGTAGTTACGTCATCTTAGTTCATTATAGCGATCGGCAGACATAATGAACAGCGCCCACGGCGAACTCTTAGAATATTCATATCAAATAATGTAAAGCTTCTTAGTACCAGGTATAGTTTCATCATATTAGTTGCATTCTAGAACCACAGTCTTGCTGGAAGAAGAATTTCTGCTTACCATTTTTTTCCCCCTAGAGAATGATATAATTGATAAGAATTTATTTGTGGTAACCAGCAATCAGGGTACCATCATATTTGTGTAGATTGCTAACACAGTTGTGTGAAATGCAGCTCACACTTATACCCCCCCCCCAGTATGCTTCACCATGATACTGTTCTCTTTTCTGCTATCGAATAAATTATCATTGATCATTGCTGAACTGTTGAAGTTCTACTTAATCTGTAAATAGCTCCCTCTTTGAGCTTTGGTAACATTTCTGTTAGAAGTCTGATGATAATTTCGGCCTTTTGGTTTTGTTATCTCTCTTAAGCAGTAGTTTTTGAGCAGCCATACATCCACATAGGTAACATTCACACCTAAGTTATCGGCAATATCTGTAGTGGATTGTCATGTATCACCTAAAGAGCACACATTATTATTTTTTTTTTATCTCGACCACTTCTATTATAAACAGTACTAGTTTCACGTACCCTTTTTCAGAGTTTATATACAGTTCCTATTAAAAATGAAATTTCTTCTCAATCTGTTGCATTACTTTCTACATCTTTGGTAGCAATGAGTGCTATATTATACAACTGCTGGGAATATTATGTCCGCCTCTATTTTTATAGGCATTATGCTGATGTGGTACTGTATGATTGGTTGTTTGTTTGTAGTTAAGCACAAAGCTACACAAAGGGCTATTTTTGCTCTGCCCAGAACGGGTATCGAAACCCGGTTTCTAGCGTTGTAAGCCCGCAGAAATACCGCTGTGCCACTGAGGAGCATATGACTGGTTGAATGACAGGCAATCATAGTATAAACTCTGACGTAGTTTATTTTCATATAATAGACAGGAAGCAATACTAGGGTATTGGCATTTTATACCCATTTCACTTCCTTTCTTCGCAATTATTTCTCACACTGTAAATTTTATTTCCAATGTAAATATTTCCACAGTAATTCACAGAGAAAACACTTTGATGAACACACACAGATCTGAAGCGTTTGGAAAACGTGTCATAAGCGATTTGTATTTGTACAAATATTCATCTAATGTTGGAATTCGTAACTCCCTTATTGACGCCTATCATTTAGCAGTGACAACATCATACAGTTTGTGGGTTTTTTTTTTCTGTTTCTCAAACCATTAGAATATATGAACAAGTGTTGCTAAATAAAATAGAATTATTAATATTGCAGAGCGCAGTCTAGCTCTGTAGATTTCGGAGCTAGCAAGCCGGGTCCGAATCCGTGCAATGCCACAAAATATTTCCAGAACTTTAAGTTATGGGTAAGTTATAAGTTTTACAGTGAATCATTTAGTGCGAAGCCCGGGGGTTAGGAAAGTCGACTCGCAGTCTGTGGGTTCGAATCCCCGTCCTACCAAACATTCTCGCCCTTTCAGCCGTGGGGCGTTATTATGTGACGGTCAATTTCACTATTCGTTGGTAAAAGAGTAGCCCAAGAGTTTGCAGTGGTGGTGATGACTAGCTGCCTTCCCTGTGGTTTTTACACTGCTAAATTACGGACAGCTAGAGAAGATAACCCTCGTGTAGCTTTAGTGTGAATAGTAAGGTGCTACTGACTGGCTGTATTTACTATGGTTATTAGTTCAGAATTAGGGATGGTGATAGAGGTAGTTTTACCATAAATACAATTATTTTTGGGAATGAATATTTCATCTTTCAAGAAACGGTGAATTGACAGTAGGACTCGTGACTTTTCTCTACTGCCATTTGATGAAAATATTTGTTTGTTTTTTGTTTTTGAATTTCGTGCAAAGCTACATGAGGGCTATCTGCGCTAGCCGTCCCTAATTTTGCAGTGTAAGACTAGAGGAAAGG